GCGTTATCAATGAAGTGTCGACACACGAGGTGATAGTTCGCGCACGAGTGAGCATCGTTGCTTTGGTAAACATACATTTTCACTATGTACACACGTACATACGAGGAGGGATCGGCATCTCTCGGCTGTGGCGAGTGATCAAAGCTAATGGAGCAGCGAGCCATGTCGGCGTATTAATCGGTTGGCATCTCTCATAGCTCTAATAACCATCGTGTGTGGGTTGTACGTGCAAAAAGCCTCTAGGTAGAGGAGAACTTCCGTCGGGCAGCGAAAAAATCATTGCACCTGTGACGTAGCGGGCACACACGGGGCTTCGTGTTGATCAGAAACTGCCATGGCTAACTTCACTTTCTACCTTGACACGTGTCGATATTAACCGTAAATTAACGAGCTTCATTGCGTGCAATTAACATGGAATATCATTACAGATCATTCGGAGCGTTAAATTCATGCGAATAGAGAGAGAGAGAGAGAGAGAGAGAGAGAGAGATTCGCTTAAGGATTTTAACGATTGTAAAACGGGACGAAGTAGATTTAGGACACTTGTCGAATGTTTAGTTATAATTATGATTCTATGTGTTTGAGAAATTTTACTTGAAACTTCAAAATTCAACAGTTGATAACAAAATAACAAAATTAAGTAAATTTCTTGTACAATAAAGCACGAAGATTTTTCATCTTCGAGATTATTATTTTCGAATATAATCACTCAACACCGAATGAGTACAAATGTTCGTGTGAATTCAGCGACACGCAAGGATAAATTGCATTCGCAATTTTACTGCTTCTCCAATGATTACGTTATCGATCGGGGAACAACAGGAAAGAAATGTTTATCGACAAAAGTCAGCGTCGATTTTACGATTTCACTCGAGATCGAGACGAAGGAACAGAGACGAACTTTCACGCTTGCCAGATGATTTTTCTCCGTTGTGCGCTGTTGATCGATCGTCAGCAATAAAAAAAGAAGAAAAAATGTGTTCACAAAAATCTGAAAGAGGGAGAGAATTTTATCGGAATCTCTTCTTCTTCAGGCAAGAAGTATTGCTTGAGAAAAAATCGCAACGTTGCTCCTATTTTTTTTCTTTTCTTTTTTTTTCATTGCTTGGTATGTACATTGAAATTTAGAAACGCGATTAAAAATGCAGTTTATCGCTTGCAGCATTGTGCGGTGAAAGACAATTAATTTCGTTGTGTAGGCACTTTAAACTTTGTTTCTTCGACACACGAACGTAAGTTCAAGTGTAATTCAACACACTGTTTTCGTTGAGAATTAACGACTCACCTTTTCAACGTAGCGTAGTTAAAGCATTGACTTTAGTGTGAAATATTAAATGTTAAAGTGAATATCAGTGAAATTCGTTATGCGCTACGTTTCGTTGTAACTTCGTTTCATCAGTAACTAAGTAATTTCGTGATTCTATGCAAGTTCGCGATACATTAATTTCCATCATACGTCAAATATAAAAAAATTTTAAAATTGAAACAAAAAAAAAACAAAAGAAGCAAAATACAGAAGCTTGATAGGTATTCGTGCATTCTCATGTTCTATTCGCAGCTCGTTCACCGTGTTATTTGCATGCTGTTGCAATCACATTCTACATGGTACCACGCAGTCTCGGTATTTTTCTCAAAATCAAATTCCCAACGCCTACTGGGTTCCCTGTTATCACAACTAATTGGCCCTAATGGCATTCATCTCCACGCAAAGGAAACGCTCTTTCGTCTCGGGCTCGCTCCTTTCCTACGTGCGCGTGCCTTTCAGTTTCAAGTCACTTTCAAGTTCTCGCAACTTGAGATACACTCTGAACGACAAATCAATAAAAGTATCCCTGTGTCCATCACTTGAAGTTCCTTCAATTCAATTCCAGCTGACTGATTGATTTTTCCTCAGCATCTCGTTCTACCTATTGTTAGTCCAGTTACCTTGCACTTTGCAAGTTTTTCAAAACAATTGTAATTTTGCACGAGGAAGGATGTTCAAAATTTAAAAATTTCTCAGACGATTTTTCTCGTCTTGCAACAATTTATTAGTGTAACACATTAAAATCAGAGATCATTCGAAATTTATTTAGTACAATTCTACTCGACACTCAGATTACCATTCGTCACACATAGATTTGAATTCAAGTTCAGAAAACGTACAGGACACGCTGCACGCGAACGAAGAGCCACGTCGTAAGATATCTCCTCATCGATATACTCCAGCAATTTTCCAAATTTCGGCTAATCCAAGAAAGAATTCCTCGGACGCGTACAAAATTACCCTTCGTCCACGGTTGTACGCCAACAAAAAATTACGTCACGAGACGTATCTCGCTCGCAAGCGGTGAATTTAACCCCTTGCGCTGGCAACTGGTTTCGCGGACCATAACGAGTGACCGAACTGTACACAATAACGCGTCGCTTTCTTTTTCTTTTGAACTCGTCGGTATGATATCACTGGATAGAAATTATTAAGAAGTAATGAACTTATCATTTGTTTTGCCTGGGTTACATTTATATATATATATATATATTCGAAAGAATTAAAAGACTGTGAATAGTTAATTGTAAAATTGCAGGTATTGCTTGTTTTCTAAAAATAAGATCATTCATTTCTTCTACTGGTGATAAAGAAGCTAACTCGCTAAAAATTGGGAATAATTTAAGACTATTTTATATATATACTTAAAATTAAAAAATTGTTGCAATTTGAGGGAAAAAATTCTCGGCGTGCATGACACGTTTCACTCCAGCGCAAGAAGGTTAATATCGACACGCGAGAACGCGGCTATTCTCCCAGGTGTTATCCACGGGAGAATGTCGTCTTCCTACACGTTGCCCTTTTTATAGGATTATTTGTACACTGCGTTGATCGATGAACGCTTTGCAGCAGCGGTGGATAAGGTCACGGTCGTTCGTTTGTTTTGATGCTGGATGCCGGGCCAGCTCGATATTTCGCATGTAGGTCATGGTACGACCTGTTCGCTTCAAGCGAATTCCCCCATGTTCGTTGTTAACGGGGAGATAGCGATTTTGTTTTTTCTCCCCCACCCCCCCCCCCTCCCTCCTTCCTTGGTTTTTCGTTTCTCTCCGGCTTCTTTCTTTTCTCTTCCGAGAGGCACACGCCCCCGCGAGTGACGAGGCTAAGTACGTTGTGCAACTATGCCGACAAAACAACGACGATAATGGCCGCCCACGTGAATTTCGACGATGACGCCAATTAACGGGCAACGCTGTCCCCGAACGATTTCAATGCAATTTGAGATGGTAGTAATCACCCAGGCCATCAATCGATGCTAATTTTGTATGGGGAGTTTAGCCGCGGATCAGCAGGACCGGCGATTTAATTAATAACTCGGTCGAGGACATTTTGTTGCCGAAATTGTTGCTGGCAAAATATCCATACCCTCTCGGTGAAGTATCGAACAACCTGAAGAACTTTTGCTTTGGAAATTTCGCGACATTCGAATAACTCGAAATTGAAAGAGGTCGGGACCATAGTTTTTCAACAGAAAAGCTTCTGTTCTAGACTTCTTTCTCATTTTCTTTCTCATCTGGGAACTCGTTATTTTTTTCCATGCAGTTGAAGTATCACGAAGCTCTCTCGGTCTTGAACTTTGGAATATCATTCCGAACAGTATAAATTACGCGAAGCGTGAAGCATGAACAAATTGTCGTGATCTATTTCCTTTTTTCTTTTACTCTTCGACCCAGTCTTAAATTCAGCCCCTTGCCTTATGATTTTTCTTTCTAAAAATTAATTACTACAATTTGAATCTCGTATTAAATGCAAGGCATTGTGACTTGTACTTTCTAATTTTCAAATCGAATTGCTCGCCACTCTAATTCAGATCATAATTCGTACCGAGTCACGAATGCATTCGTGACTCGGTATTTTCAGGCAAGAGGTTAACTAAGTCTGACTAATTTGAACACGAGCTTAATTTAAATAATTCGTACAGTCCGAGCTGTTACACAGTGCATTCGTTCGATCGTTCGTTTTATTACCACCTGGTGCAGAGAGGTTAATGGTGTCGTTGCTAACCATCGACAGGACGACGAATCCATAAATCTTTCGGCGCTGTTTTGCATTTAGGTAAATGCATTTGTCGATGGAGGTCAGCGTCGCTGTTTATAGCGTGTTGGAATCGATGATGGAACGACAGGAAAAGGAATCGACCGATTCTACGAGTGACGTACTATTTCCGTCGTTTGTAGTTTTGTTTCGTCGTTAGGCTAATTGATCCCAGTTGACTGCACGATCGATATTACAAACTTTAATTACAGTCAATGTTTCTCCAATTGCAATCTCTGCTTATGTTCTAAAGACAAAGTTTTTTAAATATTAAAAAATTTATTAAATATTAAATATTAAATAAAATGTTAAGTATTAAAAAATTTATTTTTTAAACAAAGAAACACAGAGTTAAATACCGGATCAAGATGAAATATAATGTTTTATATTTCTCGATTCTCGTCAAGACAATCGTTATATTTCTTTCCATGAAATTTCCCGATGAACAGGTCTTGTGAAATACTTTTTCTCTCGCACTCAAAACAACGCGCGTCTTTCTGAGACGTTCAACAGAAAGAAATAAAGATCGACGAGCCTTTGATAACGTAATGTCGCGAAAGTTGAAATTACAATGCCTGCAGTACGTCTGTAAACGTTCACTGGTAGTTAGCGCACGAAAATTGTCTTATTAAATAAGAAGGAATTTACGCGGCCAACTTTTTGCATGTATTAATCCTCCTAAAAGGACAAAGAACAAAAAGCGGTAAGAGAAAATGTCGTGGTACAAAGAATCCCTTTATTGTGACTTTTCCAAGAATATTCTTACGTGCGGCGGATTCGTATTTACGAATTAAACATTTGAAACTTTAGTAGACGGGAGTAGTTTTGAAATTTTATATTGTCTTATATTATTTCGTATTATATTATATTATGTTTCATATTGTATTATTTTACGCGACATTCGTACGAAAAGTAACTGAATCATTCCTTTTGATTACAGAGTTTGCAGCAGCCACGCTCGCAATCGGAACGACAACTATCAGGTGAGTTTTCAACGAACAAAGCAGAAAGAAGTTCTTTACAAAGAAGTACAACTCCGTTTTCGTTGTTTCGTTCAACTATTTCCGAGTGAGTTGAACTTTTAATGGCCGTCCGTGCTTGCCCTATTCTTGCTATTAGAACGACCGATTCGATTTCGGATATTTTAGTCGTCGCCATGTCGGGGAATACCAAAATTCATAAAAAAAAAAAATCCTTCGAAAGCAATTTCAATCATAGCCAGATAGACGTCAATGGAAAGAGTACTGAAATTTAAACACATTGCATTTCTTTCAAAGATTCCTTCGACATTTCAGAGACAGAAAATAATTTTTCATATCGCACAATGCCTTGTGACTATGATAATCTCTAACTCTTTCGAGAGTTTCAAAACTTCAAAGTTCCATTTCCCATCACTGATTAAATCCCACGATAACTCGTTCCGCGAGTGGCAAAAGCCAGGCCATTGAGAAGTTTAAATTACGCAACAAACAAGGCGAGAATATCGAGATATCACGCGCAAGAAAAGACGAACCGCTTCCGTGACACGACCAGGAACGGCGTTTCTTTTCGTGGCAGAGTCGCCGCAATATCAGCAATATGTCGGCCCTTTCTCCCCGGATCTTTCTTCCCCTTCGACGGATTCTATTTCCGTCGAGCTTCCTCTGTCGCTCGCCGAGTGATTTATTCGATCGAAGCTCGAGCAATTTGTCGCCCCCGGCGTCACACCACCGGCGAACGAAAGTAGCCGGTGCACACGTCCGCGAAACTCGCGCCCCAGCGCGCCGGTTAATTCTTAATTTCAGCCTTCACGGTCAGCACGCCTCCCACCGGAAGCCTTAATCACAGGACGAGACTACGAGTCGCGCCTCGAGAAAGCAATTAGCGCTGTCCCGCGAGCTGATCGATAATTAATTAAACTTTCGCGATCGATTCCTCGAACGCGTTCTCATCCGCCTGCACGCGAGCCTTTTCAACCTTGTTTTTGTTTTCGGGTACGGCGTTGTTCGTTTCACAATGTGATTGTTTGGATTAAATAGGACTTTTTTTTTAGAATCAGGATACCTAGTTTTATTATTTTTTTAATGGAATGGTGTGGTATAAATCACATTTCTTTTTTTTTTTTTTTAGAAATAAAGAGAAAAAAATGTATGTCTTGTATAAATCAATTGTGAAAAGATTGGTTGCTATGCATAAGAATTTTGAAGAGAACATAATTTTAATAGGAATATTTGTCAATTGAATTCCAACATTGAAATTGTCTTCATCTCTCTTTAAAAGTATTTTTGTTCAATTTTATTTAATTTCTTTCGTTTTTTTTTTTTTTTAATTTCTATTAGAAGAGTATTATACTTAAGAATGTTAAAATATTGCTGACTTCTGCAGTTCGGATACATCCGCGAATATTCATATTAGCAGATGTTCGCGTGATATTTTGCATGGTTGATTCCGATTTTTGCGTACTGTGTGAATATTACTGGCATATTTCGAGATATTGCTTTCGAGATCTTTTGACAAGGAAGCAACTGGTGCAGAAAGCTGATGAAAGGAGAAGGTCGGAAGGTCGTTGCGAAATGTAGAAGAAACGGGGATGTATACCACCTGTAGGCTGTCTCTATTCCTTGAAAGCTTTAATCTTTGATCTGACAATGTGTCCCGGTCTTCGTCGTCCCTTTGTTCTCGCAAAAATATGCCTCAGATATTCTGGAAGATGTCTGGATTCTCACTGAAACGGCGGCTAGTAATAAAAGAAATGGAGACTAGTGGAGAAATAGACTACCAAGTTTGTGCAGAATGTTGTCCCTCTATGTTGGAGAGAGATTTATTAATTTGTGTTTAATTGATAAGTGAGATGGTACAAGATTGTCTCGTGAAATTAATATATTTGAGATACCAAACTGATAGTAAACTTTGGTAATTTCGTCAAATTCTTGATAGTTCTAAATTTTAAAAGAATTTCACGGCATTTCACGGCTTTTTAAACAGTCGTTGGTTAATTTAGTTTTTGAATTTAATACATCGAGTTTCGTGAAATTTTTGATTTGCTTAGGGATTTGCTTTCTAGCAATTCATACACGGATGGAAATACTTTCTTAGTCAAAGAGATACCTTTAAAAGTATTACGAATTATTTAGATTAAAATTCTTGTACTTTACGGTAAATGAAACGAAGGAGGAGAAATCCTTTCGGAAGAGGAAGAAATTTACCTACCGTCTTTCGGAAAATATGAAATTATGAAGAAATGATTTTTACAGAAACTTACGCTCGGTAAGAGAAAAGATCTTCGTAAAAATGCTCGACGTCGTTCAAGACGAATTCTGCAAAAATATGAATAAAGTAAACGTAATGAACGACGAGACATTTCCCACGATAAAAATAAAAACTCTTCCAAGCGACATGTCATAGGAAACATTACCAAATTTCGTAAATAATAAAACATGTTACCACCGTCCCTTTTAATAATTTACAGTCTGTTGATTCCACGAGAAAGAGTAACAGATGCTGTTTTTAATTATTAATCCGCCATTGTTTGACTGCATTTGCATTTACGCATTTATGAGAAATTCAAATGTATAAAATTGCGTAACTTGCAAGATATTCAAATATTGTTCATATATTATTTAAGAGGCTGAAACAAATCCATATTAATGTCTCATTTCTCTGCTAAAAAAAAAAAAAAAAAAAAAAAAAAAGAATACGAATTTGCATACTACATCTGCAGTCCAGTTACTTCGTACACGCGTCACGTTTTCAAGGTTGTTTACAGTTGTTGCTACGAGTCGACTGAAATACTTTAAGTGGTAGTTTTAAATTTGAAAATAGCGCTTTGCAAGTAACGTTACATTGTACGATTTTCTGTTCGTAGAAGAAAATCTACAGTGATACCAAAGTGCCAATAGAAAATGATCTTAATTAATTTTGGACTGGCAGATGCAAATTTCGTCTTGCGCGTGTGCTTCGTGATAGATTGATACGTCAGAGAGATTTTACATCGACGTCATTATCGGGCATATCAGAGACATTATTTCGAAACTATCGAGCATGCAACTTAAGGGAGAACCTACCCTTGTAACTTCCTGACGACGAACAATATTCAATCATTTGTTAGAGAAAAACTGTCATACATATTATACGTACGCGTTGTACGAAACATATTAAATTTCCATTAGTATTGCATCGAGATTCGATTATAACGAGTTAGAAAATATTTATTTCAGAATGAAAAATTGATATATCTTAGGCCTATATTATAATAATAATAATAATAATAATAATAATAATAATAATAATAATAATAATAATGATAGTGGTTGACCATGGAACATATGAAGTATCTTTTCATTTTCTGTTCTTCTGCAAACTCCTTGGAAACATGGATTCAAATAATTCTTTTACAAAATCTTTAAAAACACAGCTCAACACCAGTTTGAAACGAAATACTTCGTATACATCGTATATTTTTAAATTTGTTTCAAACTTGACCAGAGTAATCGTATAATAGGTCTCGTCACGTTAACAATGAAAAATGATGAAAATATGAAAATATTTGTAGAACACGCGTAACATTACATGCTCCTCCACAAGTATCCAAGTAGTTTCGCGAGCAACTATGTCGATATCCACGAATCCACGTTGGGATTATTATTATCGACAGAACATCGAACGTACGCGGACGATATACATCGTCGCGTTTCCGCGCCGAAGAAGAATGTGTGTCACCGGATATTATCGATTCAGACGCACGTGTTAGAAACGCGGACGTCGCGACTCGAATTTGAATATCGGGTCTACAATTATGCAAATTCGCTGGCCGTGATTTATTGGGATCCTTACCATGTAGGAAGAAATACGCCGAAGAGGCGTATATCTCATGCTTGGAATTGCACATTAATGGGAATTTTATTACCAGCTTTTCCTTCGTCGCCTCGCTGTTATATGGTGAATTGCATCTGGTGCCTTCATTTTCGCGAATGTTCGACGAATGCACTCTTGGTCCAAAAATAATTGCGTCTTTTTTCTCTAAAAAGACGTAGAACGAGGATATTAAATAGTTTTTTTCTAGCGATAAGAATTTCTTTGAACCTTTTTGAAATCATGAGAGATGGTCTGAAAGATGGCAAAAGGTAATCGAACAAAGTGTCTATTTTTCGTGAAAATTTCATTTACATACCCACCAACAAAAAGAAAATGTAGTTACTTTTTATATATGAATCGTATATCTCATTTTTTTTTCCTATTTGTAATCTCTGCGAACTTTTTATTACCTCAGTTCACGTCCGGCGTTGCGATTTTGAATGAAATTGGAAATTCTGGATGAATATTTTATAAGATGTCGCGTGGAGCTTGTTATAAAAATAACGCAAACTCGTGAAATAATTAGGCGGAAATTGTTGAATGTAAATCTACACGAAATTCGGCGCAAATTCGGTGGAAATTTTTCGTGGATTGCGTACGATGTACTTGAATCACTGCAGATAGTCTTCAGACAAAATTTCTTTTAATATTTCATTAATATCGTCGATAAAAATTTGGTTGTTTGAATTTTAAATTATTTCGTTTTAATCTACGTTACATTAATTTGTGATAAAAACAATTGGCGAAAATATATATATGAATCTCCAAATTAAACACAGGAAACCTAAAACCTAATTTAAGATAAACGGAATTATCGTAATCCATTATTAACCTCGTTTCCACTAGTGACTTAAGTTCATTTGAATTTGATCATTTTACTTTAAAGCAAATCGTAATACTTCTCTACTAATCGTTAATCAATTCAAAATATCCCGATATAAACGGACATCGTTAACGTATAAATATATCTTCGATCAACGTGAAAGAAAAAAAGTGATCCTTAATTACGTTAAGTGATGCGTGACGCTATGAGTCTCGACAAATCGACAAACCAGATTTCTTTGTCAAATCGTCAGACGTATTATTGTCATTTCGTCACTTAACCAGCTTCATAGTTTATCGCAAGGTACAGCTTTCACGTTTCTAAACC